GTTGTGCAAAATTTTCATTTTCACCATATAATGTTTTTAAACCAAATCGTGTAACAGCACGATAGATATTTTGACATAAGTGAAAAAAACACCCATTTAAAACTGTTGTTGGAAATAGACTTTTAATTACATTTATAGTGGCACGTTCAAAATCAATCATAACATTTAACGGATCAAAATCTGGCACTAAATTCTTCAGTTCTTTGAACATTGTTTTGTATAAACATTGTTTTTTTCCTAAACAAAAAACAGAGCGATAAAAAAAGCTTGAAAAGCCATACTTTAATGTACTCACCAGGTAATAATACATAAACTGCTGGTAAAATATGATTCAAATATGTAACATGGATTGTATACAGTTGGAAATACAGCTCGGGAACCACATCAAATGTTCCATCCAGATAAATATGACTTCCATTTTTTAACATTTTGAGTTGTTTTTTGGTTGAGAAGATTAATATTCGTTGATCCGTTGGACCAGAATCGAATTGCAAAAATGTTTGATCACGATTCGTTTTAGTAAATATTGCATCAATAATAATTGAATCCCGATTTGTTGGTAATGGTAATGGATTTTGATGCTTTTGACGAATTCGTTGAACAGTTCGCTTAAGATTTTGTAAATTTGGTAATGAAGTGATTGCATAATCCGATAATTTGGATACACCACTAGCAACAATATCATGCGTTGTATTAACAGTTTGTTTAGCCTCATAAACCATTTGTGTCCGTGCTTCGGCAACTTCTCTATGGTGGAGAATATGGTTATATATATTCGTCCAGATAGAACAATACGAAGAGAGATTGGGAAAAAGTGCCATCAAAGGTAATTTAATCGTGTACATATTTCCCATGTGTTTCAAATTTATTGAAGAGATTAACTGATTAAAAGCTGGACATGGTCAACATGTTAAGCATACTTTATTGGTTTATCTTTTATCAGAAGCTATTAATTACTTAAATCGTCAAAATATGATATCAAAAAAGTAATTAAAGGAAAGTACAAAAGAAAACAGAACAGAGTAATTCTATTCTCTTCATATTAATAACGATTATCTTGTCGATCGATAGTTCATCTGGAGAGCAAATATCACAGGAGAGCCAGTGTCATTGGGAGCAAGTATCGCGAGAGCAAATGTCGTTGGGGAGCAAGTGTCCCTGGGGAGCAAGTATCGCGAGAGCAAATGTCGTTGGGGAGCAAGTGTCCCTGGGGAGCAAGTGTCCCTGGGGAGCAAGTGTCGCGAGAGCAAATGTCCGGAGAGCAAGTGTCGCGAGAGCAATTGTCTCGGGTGCACCTTTCATGTATTCCATTGCACCATCAGTTTATGCATGCTAGTTTTTAGTATACGTGAAGCATATTTTAGTCCATGGTTGTATGTTTGAGCCAAACGGAAAGTTTTTGAAAAAATTCTTTGTTCAAAAACCCCTGCAATATGCATCGTTCAATTCGGTTTTCACGCGGATTCCAAATATCACCAGTAGGGTCTAATTTGTGAACATCTGCAATTTACATAATATATCTAGATGTATATGAGTGAATCGTATATTAATTGTACAATTGGTTGTTTAGTACCGTTTCTGCCATAAATCCGTAGTAGTTTGTCGGATTCCTAAAATATTTTTTTATTTTACTCATCTCATCACCTCTCACTACCGATAAAATTTTGAGCATTCTATGTTTTCAGGTGAGTGAGATGCACGCATGAAAAAGCAGAAAAACGCGTTTTTATCTTGACTAGCATGACTAAAAACGCGAGTTTCACATCAAAGACAGATGATAAAGAAAAAGCAGACCAGTGGATCGCGTAGAGCGCAAAATTCTCTATCCATCCATATCATTTACGATTTCGCTTCAGCACTTTGGCACAGATTTTTTTGGAGAATTAAGTTTTCCGTGCAAATTGTAGGGAGACACCAAAATCGGTCTGACAGATGTAGGCAGCACTTAAGCGTAAAATTGATTCCACCATGAGATAGAGCATTAAAAACACTCCGGAAAACACACAAAAGTATTTTACTAAACGCCTATTTAGTGGTCCAAAAATGACTAAGTTTAGATTTTTCACTCAGTTTGTAGGGAGAGATTTTGGAACTTGCGTTGCCCATAAGTCAATGAGATTGTATTTAAATTGTTTCAAACTTTCAGAACCAGAAGCAGGTAGGAAGTTGTATGACTGGTAAAAATTTCAGCCCAAGTTGATGTCCTCCTGGTAAACTTCGCGTTATGCCGCAAAATGTAGGGAGACTTTTTTTGTAGGGAGAAATTCGTTTCGAACTTTTTTCCTATTCATAGCTGTGCAGAACTGAGAAAAGTAAACTTTAATGGGTTTTCGAACACGCTCTTTCTAGTAGAGCAAACAGAACTTCGTAAAACAAAAGCTTTGGAAGTATTTACCAATAAGCCGAAAAAACCGCAAAGATTCTCTGAAAGCGTTTTTTGACAAGAATAATTCCAACGGGTACATCACCTGCAAGTAATTTTTCCCGCTCAATTGCTCCTAAGCTAGTAGATAATGCAGCCTAGAGGTGTCCTGCGTAAATCGTAGGTCTCTATCTTGTTTCTATTAGAAATTATTTTGAAAATATACGGGTCACCGTTAATTTAATACATTAGGAAATTGCATCTCTATTATCTCAGCCGGTAGACCTTTGGTAGTTTAAAAATTTTTACCTGGTACTCAGAAAATTATGGGGAATAGTCTGGTCGACTCAATTGATAAAGTTACTTACATTTTTTCCCACAAATTGTACAACTAAAATACGATTCACTCATATCTGGATGTTCAGATATTCAGATATTCGGATATTCAAGTCAGATATTTAGATATTCAGATGTTATAGAAATGGGGAAAAGGGAAGGTGGGGGCGGCAAGGGAAGATGAGAGTGAGGCGCTTCCTGATATTCGCCACCGTGCAAGAAAAGAGAAAGATATCTGAACATTTAGATATTATGTAAATTGCCGATGTTCACAAATCAGACCGGTCTCAATATCACCTCGCTTCTGTTTCAAACGCACATCTTTCTGATTAATACAAATTACAGTACTATTAGTCTGATTTATTATTGATATTTCGACGATGTTCACTCATCATCATCAGAATAAACGAATGACGTCAGACTTGATTCAATAAGAGTACAGAAAACTAAAAGAACAGAAAATCAGGTACAGGACTTTTATGTATATGATCGATCATATGCTCTATTGAACATTCTTTTTCGCCGATAAAAATTGCACTCTATGAGTACAATTTCATCCAAACACTCTTAATTTATATGTGATTCCATTAGTAGATTTGCCGTAGCTTTGATGAGTAAATAAACTTTATTTGATAGTTCTTCTTCTCTAATCTGTTTCTAGAGTGAATGTTTCGGAGTTATCAAAATCAAGTTTAGGATTATTATTGATCAAGTGTTGAACTATGACTGAAGTAGGTTTTCTTTTTCTTATACCATTTTTGTGTTCTTTTATACGAGTCGTTTTTTCTCGATTTGTTTCTCCGATGTATACTGAATCACAATTATTACATCTAACACACTGGACTAGCTTCTTACTTTTCTTGGTTACGTCGATACCTTTTTGCAATGGAAGAAAGGTATTTTTCTTAAGCCTTTAAGACCGATCTTATCTGCTACGAAAACACGTTATGTATGGTTGTTACCAAGGTAGGTTTCTGACAAGACGAGACCTTGGTTGTTGTACCTGTTTCCAAAGGAAGGTTTTGTTTTCCAAGTAAATCTGACGGATAAAGCCGTAGCATTCAGTTTATGATTATCTCACTATATTTATGACAACAAAGAAAAATGCACACTATTCACAATCTTTTAACTACTATTTTTTTATTTCTTTCATAACTGTTTCATAAACAAGATAACTAATGGATACCGCTGGCACTACTTTTAAAATATTGGGTACGAGTCCACGATAGAATCCCACAATACCTTCTGTACGCCATACGTCACGAAACATCTGTCCAACTGGTGCAACATGTTTTGAATCACTTTTCAATGAGACAGCTAAAAAGCAATCGGAAATATTGCCAAAAGATTACTTAAATCTTTGAAGAGAAAACATATTAAAATCTGGCGCTATTCTTCTCAGAGATTGCTAATGCGAAACGTGCGAAATGTTGTTAGCTATGGTGGATTTAGTGGTACGTCATATTTATCTCAAAAGGATCACTTTGGTTTGTGAAGAAAATAGATTCTGAAAAAAACAATCAGATCCTTGTCGGATTCGAACTGATGACGAAAAAATTTACTTTCTCTGTACTAAATCACCATGCTACCGATCTACACTGATTCTTTCTTGTTCTAACAAGTACAGATGAAGAAAAACAGAAGGCACAAAACTGGTTAATATGTTTCGATCATAAATGTTTTTGCTAGAAGGTTACCAAAGGTGCTCTAGGAGATTTTGCGAATAGTCACAGATGGCCAGGTCTGACCATTTTCAGTCACGTACAAGTTTGAGTCGAAGTTCGTCATATTTCTGCACTATACAGTACGTCATAATCATATATGACTGGTAAATAAATTTTATCCATACATTGATACGTGTTTCACAAAAAAAGATTAATAAACTAGGTATCAGATTATATCCAATCCATTGTTGAATGTAAAAGATTTTAACTCCTTGGACTTCTAATGGACTTAATAAAAAAACAAGTCCAAGTCATGTCCAAGTCCGCTGAGGCTCAAGTCCAAGTCAAGTCCAAGTCCATCAAAAAAATCTTTAAGTCCGGACTTGGACTTGCCCACCGCTGCTAACAGTTACATATGTTACAGTGTTTATCTCAGATGGGTCATCTTGTTAAAAAGATTGGGAAAGAATCTAACCTGTGACCAAAGTATATAGCTTCTTCCTCATCGGCTCATTAACCACCAAGGGATGACTAGCTATCTGAGCTATCTGAACTAATTAGCCCAGGAGAAAAATCTTGAATGTAGATCTTCATAAACCTTCAGAGATTTCTCAAGTTTCGCCCAGGTCTTTCAAGAACTTGTACAGATTTATCGTAATCTGCAGTAGTATTTTCCATTTAGAACCTTGGGAGATTTTCCACACATTTTGTGTCAGAATCTGTCTTGATAGACGTTATATGGATCTTGTCAAGATATCCGAAAAATTCTGAAACGATTAATTTAATAAGCAATAATCAGAATCTTCATTAACAGATTTGGGAATTTCAGAGAAAATCTTAAACTTTATTTTTCTACTTCATATTTTCATTTTTTTCTGCTGTATCACTACAGTTCAAGCTCACTCTTCATTAAAGTATGATGTCACAAATACTTCTGAACATTTATGATCTAAACATATTAACCGGTTTTGTCCGTTCTGTTTCCCTTCATCTATATACTTGTTAGAGCAAGAAAGCAGTGTCGGTCTATTGACTAAAGCGATGGTGTCAATAAAAAACTATTCCCAACACAAATGTTGTCAGTTAGAGCTATTGACACCATCTATGATAGGATTGAGCCTAATGATGCCAACAGCTGTAAGTGGCAACATCTGATGGTGTCAATAGCCATTTCAACGAAAGAATCAGTATAGATCCTTTGCATAGTGGTTTATTACAGAGTTCGAATCCAACAAGGACCTGATTGCTGAAAACCGAAGTGCCCCTTTTGAGATAAATATGACGTACCATTAAATCCACCATGGCTGACAACATTTCGTACGTTTTGCGTTGGCAACTTCTTGAGAAGAAAAGCTCTAAATCTTGAAATGTTTAAAGCTTAGAACGTTTATGATGACTTAACGACTTATGACGACGTATATGATGTTTAAAAGTCCCATAACGAATAATTCATTAACGTGAATACATAACATACCGCGCCCTTGTAATCTTGTACGAATTAAAGCAAGTGGATACGTAACCAATTGCCCAATAAATGAACTGGTAGCACCACACGCCAAAACAACAGATATTGGTGGTTCTTGATTAGGATGCATTTGCACATAGAAGTTTTTTAAGCTCTAAATGAATAAATAAGTCAGTTCGTAGATGCAAATGGACCTGTGAAACTTCTGAAAAAAATATTGCAAATTTTCTGCATGTAGGAAGAAAAAACTTCTCTTGATGGATTATTAAACTTCTGATTACTATTACGACGCCTGAACGTAAGAACAAATAAGCAATAAATAAGTACTTGCCTCGTAGCATGCTAAATCAAATCCAGCATATGGAATTATTCCAGCAATATTTAATAAATATCCACGCCAAAATGCTCTGTATCCTTCTTGACTAGAAATTTTCTTGATTGCGTCAAACATACCAGCATACTCACCAGTCCTTTGTAAACTGAAACGTACTTTTAACACCTAAACGATGGACAGTCAACATTGAACATAGGTCTGGAAGAGCCACAGTACTTACATCAAGTGGATAAATGACAGTTTGAGACAAAGCACCAGCACAACTTCCGGCTAAAAATTTTTCGATAGTGCCTGTAGCAGCTTGCGTATCTTTATTTTGTATTTTTTGGAATAACTTTTTAAACTGGAATTGGAAAATGTATGGGTTTATGAATATCCTAATCTGTTTTTGATCTACTTACTTGTTCATACGATGCAAATCTCAATGAAGTCTCAGGTATAATCTTTATAACATTCATACCATTACCGCGCCATAAACTTAATACACCACCTTCTTTTATTAAATTTTTATAACCACCTAATATTGATATTTTTTTTTGTGAACCAAGATACTAAAATATTAAGTGATTATATATATATAAAAAAACAATAGATTTTATTACAAGAAACACTTTTCAGAATAGAAGGCCATTTCCATCGGAAGGCCATTTAGATTTTCCTCTAGCGTTCCCGGTTTGTAGAGGATACTTCGAAGTATATGTTCTGAAGTTTTCTCAGCTTACTTACATTATTTAGCTGAGAAAAAAATTAATCCCTTAAAAAGATGTTAAATTTTTGAGCACGGGATTATTATTACAAAATTTCCTCTCTATTCTCCATTCATCATGAAAGCCTGGTTTTTGCCTAGATCGATGGCGAAATGTGTGGAGAATACACTAAATATTTCTTTCCGTTCTATCAGACATGATGCATGAAAGATGATTCAGAGAATTGTGACTAATTAGTCCTTCTCCACTGTGAACGAGCGTGACTAGTAAGAGGATGGACGACCACTACTCAATATCGAACTAAAAGTATGATGCTTTTCACATTTGTCTCAACGTTTGGTGAGTGAAAGTTATTAAGGTGCCGGCAATGCAAAAATCAAGTGGAAAAGCTTCTGAATTTTCAAACACATATTCTGATTTGTCAGACGCTGTTGATCACGAATCTGATCTTATTTTTTCGATTTGACTGACTTTTCATGCAGAAAACCCCAAAATACTGTGAGGGCGTCAAAAACCTCGAAAAACCGATTTTTCAGAAAAATCCCGATTATCTCCTGATCTTTTCATTTTTCGATCTCACCGGTGCGGTTTTTGGATTCAGCATCCTGAAACACATCTAGGCACTTGTCATTCAATGACTTTTCTTCAAGTCTTAAACTCTTGTAGCTAATCAAACATTGATCACTCGAACCTTGAGGTTCTCACCGCGCAATACTATCTAGTTTTTTGCCATGGGAGCTAGAGACTTCTTTCATACGCCCGAAGATTCGCCTTGCCTTGCTCCACAAAAATATGTGTCGTTTTTTCCAAAACGTTTTCCTTTTAGGAGAAATTAGGAAAAGACTGAAAAAGTGCGAGTTTTTCGACAAATTCTTCAGATGATGAGCCCCCCCATAGCTT